CCAGAGGTCACAGGTTGAGTGCTTCTGATAGGGACATGGATCACACCTGGTATTCCAGAGGTCACAGGTTGAGTGCTTCTGATAGGGACATGGATCGCACCTGGAATTCCAGAGGTCACAGGTTGAGTGCTTCTGATAGGGACATGGATCGCACCTGGAATTCCAGAGGTCACAGGTTGAGTGCTACTTGTATGGACATGGGTCACACCTAGAATTCCAGAGGTCACAGATTGAGTGCTACTGGTAGGGACATGGATCGCACCTGGAATTCCAGAGGTCACAGGTTGAGTGCTACTTGTATGGACATGGGTCGCACCTGGAGTTTCCGAGGTCACAGATTGAGTGCTACTGGTAGGGACATGGATCGCACCTGGAATTCCAGAGGTCACAGGTTGAGTGATACTTGTATGGACATGGGTCACACCTAGAATTCCAGAGGTCACAGATTGAGTGCTACTGGTAGGGACATGGGTCACACCTGGAGTTTCAGAGGTCACAGATTGAGTKCTACTTGTATGGACATGGGTAACGCCTGGAGTTTCCGAGGTCACAGATTGAGTGCTACTGATAGTGACATGGGTCGCACTTGGATTTCCAGAGGTCTCAGGATGGGAGCYACTGGTGGGAACATGGGTCACACCTTGAGTTTCGGAGGTCACTGATTGAGTGCCACTGATAGGGACATGGGTCACACCTGGAGTCTCAGAAGTCACAGTTGAAGTGCCAGTGATTGTATAAGGAGTCAAACCAGAAGAGTGTGATATCAAAGATATGGTGTTACTGGTGGGTTTAATGGTGGTCCTGGAAACCTTAGATGTTGCAGATAGGGTGCTGCTAATGTTATGAGAGATTGTACCAGGAACTTCAGATTTCACAGATGCAGTGTCAGGGGTTGTTTTTTGAGCATCAAAAGTCACAGCTGGAGTGTTATTAGTGAGAATAAGAGTTCTATCAAGAGCCTCCGTGGTTGTAGTCAGATTTTTTCTCATGCTTATTAAAGTCTCCATGGAAATATGTTTGGTGGACTTTACAGTAGGAGGATCAGTGGTAGTGAAGGCACTTGTTGTTCTTTCAGGACTAACTGTGTTTAGTTGATTGGTTCTGGGTCTGAACTGTAGATCTTTCAAAGCTCTTGGGTGACTATTCGAACTAGGTTCTTTCTCTGCATTGGAACAGGCCACACGGATCACAGACAGTTCACCAGTGGAGTCAAAATAGACCAGTTCAAACAGTGAATCCTGCAAAAACAACAATCAGTTAGTCCTTTTTTTTTTTTTTACAAAGTTTAGTTACTCTGATTTTTTTTAATGTTCTTACCTCATCAGAGATTCTCTGTATTTGTACCATCTCTCCATGTGGAGTTGTTTTAGTGAGTGTTGTCCCAATCCCAGGTTTATTATGCAGAGCTTTCACCCTGTGCAGCCTTGATCTTGGAGGCAGTATTACTGTGATATCTTTTTTTGTGCAGAACGCTGATATTGGAGTCAGATGCTGAGATTTTGCAGGATTCTCACACGTAATTGCAGCTGATACGTTACTCTGCAGCAAGTGGTCAAAATAACGCACCAGCAAGTGGTAAAGGGATTTTCCATCAGAAAACTGAAAACAAAAATGTGAACAAGGTTAGAATAACATACTCACAGAGACGCTTTGTTTTGTTAACCCTAAAAATGAAGAAAACTGTCTCATCTAACCCAGCACCCTGCCATCAGCATACCTCAATGACCACATCAAAAATGTTCAGTAGTACCGATTGTCCCACTGTAACAAAAACAAATACAAACTGAAGGTAGGAAGAAGCTCCACATTTACCTGAGATGTTACGTAGCAGGAAGTGTATGGCAGGTCCAACAGGAGCCACTGTCTGAAGKTCTGAATGGAAGTGGCACATCCATCCGGCACCAATAACAGACTCCTCCCATCTGCAGAGACACAGTTCATTTGAATAATGTCTGAGTGAAGGTGGTCTTCAGTTGTCCTGAGGTCCAGACTGGTCCACAGGGGGTCAGGTCTTCAGTTGTCCTGAGGTCCAGACTGGTCCACATGGGGATTAGGTCTGTAGTTGTCCTGAGGTCCAGACTGGTCCACAGGGGGATTAGGTCTGTAGTTGTCCTGAGGTCCAGACTGGTCGCCAGGGGGATCAGGTCTCTAATTGTCCTGAGGTCCAGACTGGTCCACAGGGGGATTAGGTCTGTAGTTGTCCTGAGGTCCAGACTGGTCCCCAGGGGGATCAGGTCTCTAATTGTCCTGAGGTCCAGACTGGTCCACAGGGGGATCAGGTCTGTAGTTGTCCTGAGGTCCAGACTGGTCCACAGGGGGATCAGGTCTGTAGTTGTCCTGAGGTCCAGACTGGTCCACAGGGGGATCAGGTCTGTAGTTGTCCTGAGGTCCAGACTGGTCCACAGGGGGATCAGGTCTGTAGTTGTCCTGAGGTCCAGACTGGTCCACAGGGGGATCAGGTCTGTAGTTGTCCTGAGGTCCAGACTGGTCCACAGGGGGATCAGGTCTGTAGTTGTCCTGAGGTCCAGACTGGTCCACAGGGGGATCAGGTCTGTAGTTGTCCTGAGGTCCAGACTGGTCCACAGGGGGATCA